CTGCAGACCCTCCAGCTGCTCTCCTGGCATCATCGCCGTCCCAGACATAGTGATTAGTGACAACAGTAATGACTTGAACAAATCTGCCAGACCTCATAACCCTTCGAACAGCAATATTCACAAGCAACTCCACATTGACAAGAGAAAGCTGGACATTAATCCGCCCATGCAAAGGGCTGACTACGAGGCGACTCTCTATGCAGTGTAGTATAATACAGTATAGTGACGGAGCACTGCTACGGTGAATCGGGAGAAAACATTCCCGACAAATCTCGAGCGATATCCAATTGACAGCTCTATATCTTCTCGAAAATGTCCTTGACATCAGACCAGACCTCGTCAACTGATCGATCGGCGTTGACCTGAGAGATGATGGTAAATCAGGTCCCCCATCTTTCCCCAATCACCCTCCTCTCTTTCCCCTTGGCCTTAAACCTCTCGATGATAGGCCTCGTCTCAGCCTCATAGGTACGGAAACGCTTTCGGATAGACTCCAAATTGTCATCGGAGCGCCCACTGGTCTTCCCACGGGACAAGAGACGCTTCTAAAAAAGACCCCACCTTCATTTTTCAAGCCCTCCCCTCTGCAGGCCAGGAGCAGCAATAGAGTACCCTAATACGGTCTGCCGACCTACCTCCATCACGTCCTCAGGACAGTCGAAGAATAGACAGAACTTCTCGTCCACCTTACCACCCAACACGCGTTCCCAACCATCCAGGTTGTCCTGAATAGCAACCTCCTGGCCACTTAACTGCTCGACCATCGGCGATTCACCTCATTCCTCGGGAAGCCATCAATGAGGAATTTGCCATGCTCCCAATCACGTTTCTCCATCGCTCGCTTTAGCAAATTAACAGTGATCTCTACGGGGACTATTGCGCCCTCTCGAATATACCTATACAAAAACAAGGCAATGAAAACATCAGACCTAATACCAGAATCATCTACACGTTACAATATTATTAAGAAAACAGAGGACAACGGGCCATCCGCCCGCACTAATACCAGCAATCGACGGAACCCTCCCATCTGAGCTCCAACTCACTTCTCGATAAGATCGCCATACTCGCTACCCTCACGATTGCGCTCCTCCCGCAAGAGGTCTCCAGCTGAGAGGTGCCTGCTCAGTAACCCATCACGATCGCCAGTCAACACAAACGCCTGTCCCACATAAATCCAAACTCCTTCTCTATAAGATCACATTGAGTGCCCTTGCCAGCTCCTGGGCCTCCAAGCACGAAAACAACACTAGGCGCCATAGTAGGAATGCTAATGTAATAGAGAGGAAAGAAACCAGTTCCTATAACGAACGCCGACTCCCCTCCTCTTCGTAGTAACGCAAGTCAGTGACGGTGTCTTAGGGTATATGATGGGTTCTTGTAAAGCTGAAGACTGCTGATGCTACTACTTCCACTGCAAGCACATACAGACGATTCGATCAGACGGTAAACGATGGTGTTATAATCATACATAACGATCAACCACCACACACTCCTTCGCATCCATAACAGGAGGGGGACAGAAATTGTGCAATTTTCGTAGGATCCATCCAGGATTCGTACATGGAGAAATCTAGAGAGGCAAGGCGGCAATTTGATGAGTAAGAGAGTAACCCGCCAACAGGCCCGAGTGTTCTGAATGTACAATCCCGACAGCGACAAAAACATTACCAATGGGATACAAGGTAGTAGTAGCTGCTGCAGGAGTCGATCATAGTAAAACACCTCAGTGCTCTAGTGGGGACCTACAGTAACAATAACCACAAACAGTAGTCCAGTGGCTCTCACTTAAGTCCATATCCTCATCATCATCATCCTCATCGTCATCCTCATCGTCATCGTCAGTCCTATGCTCTACCACAACATTCCCAGACTGTATTAACCCAGCAGCGTGTCCAGAGTGATAATACGAGGACCTT